TCTCCTTCACCCCCAACCGGTCGAGGCAGATGGCCGCCCACCCTGAGCCATGGTTCTGCTCGAGGTTTCTGCCTCTTAAAAGGAAGTTTTTCCTTGCCTCTGTCTCCTAGTGCTGCTCTTGGTGGGAACTGTTGGGCTTCTGTAAATAGCATCATAGAGTACGGTCTAGACCTGCTCTTTTATGAAAAGCACTGTGAGATAACTGTTGTTGTGATTTGGCGCTATATAAATAAAATTGAATTGAATTGAAAGTGCACATGAACATTGAACTCAACAAGGATGGCAACAAAATGCACACCAAAGACAGTGTGGACCAAACGGTATCTAGACAAACACTTTCAGCAGTCTATTCAACTATCTTGCAGTTTGCAATCCAACAAGTTTGCGGCAACCATTTTTTTCACAAACTATCTGAATTACTTTAAATGCATACATCCATATAAAAAGTCAAATTGGCTTCCATGTAAAATCTATACAGTCTCCCATTTTACAATCTTATGTTTGCACCTATATGCAAAATTTTAATACTAATTTTCTTGATAAATAACAAAGAGACACACAAACATCAATTTGCACCTCAATTAAAGTGAAGCGAAAAATCAACACAGCCGATGAATTGCACATGCTTCAAAACAAACAACCAAATTAAGCATCTAAATGATTATTAGTATAGATTTGCTTGATACAATGAGTTTTGTTATTTACTTTCAACAGTAAAAATCTATATTTAAGCTTAAACATGTTAATAGTTAGGTAGGCTCGTAAGTGTCATTGCGGAATTATTCTCAAAGTTATGTACTCACTAAGACCTTTTTTAGCTTTTTTTTAAAGAACCAAGTCCAAGTGAATAGAATTTATCAGAGGAGGAATGTGCACCTGATTCTTACAGTCAATCAGAATAGTTCATGGGAAAGCACAGCAGGACGTTCAAAATATTTGCAACCCTCAGAAGAACTTAATATTAAAATGTCCAACACTAAGACTGTAGTCAACACAACACAGAGTGAAAATACTTGTAGGGAAATGAAGCAAGTACAAGTATCAGGAGTTTGGGCTAAAGCTCTTAATGGAAATACTGAGGACACGTCTGTTAAGGATAGTGCTGAAACTGGTGACGATCAGTACATCCAGTCTTTAAAGACATCCTCTTTAGTAAGTAATATAACCTACTGCTACATTTGTGGAAAACCAGTCAAAATGTACACGTCATTTAAAAAGTTTTGTCTCTCCACATGGGAATCAAGAAAAGAAACGTTGGAATTAGCGTACAACACATGATCAACTATATGGTGGTATACTAGCCTGTACATTCTGCAGGGATGGAGAGAGTCAGGCCATTGATTCATTGCATGTAGGCTAAGCAAAGCTACCGTATTTCTATTAAATTATTATGTTAAATATATTCTTAATACATGTTTTTATTTTCCACCCCAATATATTAAAACCGCTCTGGAAGGCACATCTCTACAGGAATGCCCCAATAGAAATGTTTAACTAGCAAGCTGCTTTTAAAGCTATTTTAATGCTAGTCAGTGTCAACATCACCAAACTTTAAATTTAAAATTAGTGTCTTCATTAGTATTTTGTTGGACAGTACAGCTGCTGTCAGTTTGATAGATATTGTTACAGACTTTTGTTGTTGAAGCTGCTGGTTCCTGTTGAGCTTTGGAACGTGCAATAAATGTTATTAGCACAGATCACTGTTGAGCCAAAATAAAAAAGCTGATTTTTATTCTTTTACCTATAGGAGATTTATTATAACCTTCTGTTTTATTATCATCAACAGAAAACTACTGTCCTGTTATGTCAACAAAGTAGCTAACTAGCATTTGAATACTTCATCCCCAAGGGAAGGGTTCTGGATTTCATGACCTCTGTAATAGTCTTATTCACAGGGATAATGCAGGTTGCACACTAATTAGCAAAAGGCAGCTGGTTCTCAGTAAAAGGATCAAACTTTAGCTCTTGAAGTTTCCAGTTAATGAAGTTGTAAACTATAATTTTTTATAATTCTAACTTTTTTTACTAAAGGGAAAGGGGAGGCCTGTTAGCACGACTAGTTATGAGTAAGGCTTTAGTTTAGAATGAGGGACATAGTCTATATGTTATTGAAAGACTAAATTTAGAGTTATTTGGACGCTGTTAACACTTGTAGTTTTTTTTTTTTTGCTACATAAGAATTGTCCTTATTTTGTAAGTGTAACTACAAATTAAATATTTAGTTTAGATTACAATATTCTCTTAATAGAAATATCCCATTATTTTATTCATCCATGCTGGAGTGTCGCTCCATGCTAGCTAAGAAGGAACTAAGAGGGAACTCCGTGTCATTACATGCCAGCCAACAATGGACGTTTCTGTAATGCAGTCAATAAATAAAATGCAATCCTATAAAATTTAGACTGAAGAAACAAGTACATTGCAAAATTGATAGAAATCTTGTGGTCGTAATAACTTGTCAATTTCATTTCACAATATTTGGGGACAGAATTATTCCAAAGGTTTAGTAAAAGTTGATAAACCTGTTTTAGTGATTACTTACAAAAAAAAATAAAAAATAAAAATAGGATCTTGCTGCTGAGCATTTTAGTCCTAATTTCTAATCATGAAGAGCATGTGCTGTGTGTGTGTGATATGTACTGTGAGCTCTTACTAGTATTTATTGCTGCTCTTACTAGTATGTATTGTCAGTTGTAGATCTGTAGTTGATGCTCTGTTGATGCTTGTATGTTGTTCCTCAAATGTAAGTCGCTTTGGATAAAAGTGTCTGCCAAATGAGTAAATGTAAATGTAAGAGCAAATACAAAATAAGATAAAGATGAAGACCCTTTAAAAGGCCTACTTCACCATTCCACAAAGGTCATAAAAATGACCAACCACCACAGACAAACCTGAATTCCCCTAAGAGAAAGTTTAAATGACTGCACTAGTGTTAATAAGACATTTTATATAATTGAACCCTGGATAAAGTACCTTTTGCTGCTAATACTGCAATCTTTGATATTTGTGCATGCATCCAAGTTTTTTCTGAATAACAGGTAAAACTGTAAATTCTCAATAAAGTGGCCCTGAATATTTTTGTATCACAGAGAAATGTTACTACACTGAAAAGAATCATAGACCCATTTAGTCGTGTCAACTTACTTCTTCTTTTTAACTCAAATAGCTCTGACAAGTTTTGGATTTTGAACTCAACTGTATGAGTTTTAGAAAGTTAAACTTGCATTAATTCATTGTGTTGACTATTTGACACTTTTGTTGTGTTGATTGAACTTCCGTATGTAAGTTATCAGTTGAAAAAAAAGGCGAGAGTATGAGGATTGCCTAGGTGCTGCGTCTTTTGAGTTTGAGAAAAACATATACATAATTAACTAATTATTAGGATTTAGCAAGTACTCGGTTAAAATGAGTATCCGGTACAGATACTTTCTATGAGTATCATCAGAGTAAAATGTGGAAAATTTCTGTTTTGTTATAAACTATAAATATATGAATATAAAAAAATCAATTACATTCTCTGAAGCTCAATTCTGAGGCTCTTCTGTAAATGGTTTTCTAATAAATATAGAAAGTTCTGATAGAAATTTCAGTCTTAAATAACTTCCAGTTAATACCACCCACTTATAGATTAAGCCCCACCAATTCTGAGCACAGATACAGAAAATTTGGTGCTCTTGCTCACCCCTGCTAATTATACACTGCAGATAAGTCATATATTCTAATTCCAACCAAAATATAGACTATATAGAATATCAATAGAATATCTGTGGTAAACAAGACTAGTGCCACCGGTGGAAAGGGTTCCAGACAACGGCCTTAAGGCCCTTTCAGAAAGGAGGTGACATCTGCTGCTATTTTGAACTTTGACCAGCAAGCTACCCTGCCCCGTCACAAGTCATTGAAGATAATAGCACAGTAGTGCTGTTGTTGTGGTCTGTCTTCAAGGCCCTTTATAGATGTAAACTGAAACAAATTTGGAATTTAAATCCCTTAACTTGAAATGGAAAGTAGTATTAATTTGGTTAAGTTGCTTTAACTTGAAACTATGAGTTAGAATAACTCAAACTAACATTGGGACAACTAGAATACTGTAGTTATATCCACTTTATGAACTTAAATATATGAGTTGAAGGGGTGTGGAATTGTATGTTTGTTAGACAAGTGAAAGCAAGTTTCCTTGAATGGGCAATGTAATATAGATAGTTGATTTAACTCAGTATTAAGTTCAAACAACAAATTATCATTAATTAAACAAATTGTATAACGTAACATCATGAGTTCAAACAAAGCTTTTCTTAAAGTTGAGTTTACTCACATTTTTAAGGCAGCAATTGAACTTAAGTTTTTAAGTTAGTCACCTAGATAATTTTTACAGTTTAACAATGATGTTAAAATTTCCATTTTTGAAAGAAACAAAAAGTCTTTAAGAGATACAAACACTCATTAGCTGAAAAAAATTCACCGCATGGAGGTCCCCTCTTTGGTGGGTAGATGCTGCTCAAGGATTCAAGTGCCCTCTTGGCAGTTTCTTGAAGACAGTGAATGTTCTTGTTTTATTTTCACAGACTCCCATCATTGGTCTATGGTAACCCCTCCTAGTCTCTTATCATTGGCTCATGGCTAACTCTGCCCATCCTCTTATTTTGTATGTGACAGCATGTGGGAGATAACTGGTGAGGGGTTGGTGATTATTATTATATAAAGTCCAAACTCTTGTCTCCGGCTGATAAAAATAGGTTCCTGTTTCAAAAATGAACTCTGTGTGATAAAACCAGACCGTTTTTAACAACCGGAGTCTGGGGTTATAGATAACTCTATTCCATAACTGGTCTACAAGATTAGCTGAAGATGCTAATGACAGTTAAAACACACAACTTGATGTGGCTCATTGAGAAAACAGAGGGAGGGGAGGAGGTGCGGGGGGTGGAGCACAATCCTCAATTAACCCTGCACAGCCTATGCTACACCAGAAAGAGAGAGGACAGAGAAGAAGAGACACAGAATCAAGTTTAAGACTAGGCTACAGCTTTTCACAAGAGTGATGGTAAGTTTGTAAGAGAAAGCTTTAGCAAAGATTTTACAAAGTTTAATTTTGGAACTCACTCTTATTTTGCTGCATGCTGTTGAAGGTAATTTAAAATGCTATTTAATTTTAACTCACTTTTATACTATTTTACTGCTTTACTGTAATTATTTTCAATTTCTTTACATGTTTAATAATAAAGACTGACTTGATTACAAATCTATGAAGAAACCTCCTACTGATCCTTTGCTGGCCCCGGAGATTCCTCCTTTACTTATAACTCACTGCTATTGTGGAAGTGTTTGTAGGTATGTTAATCTGACTTCAGAGTTAAACTCATTTTCCAGACGTTAAAAGTCGTGTTTTAAATTTTGTTTTAGCAATGGCAGATTTTCAAAATATTCCACATGAAAGCATTTAATGTAAAATAAAAATTTTCTAGAGAAAAATACAAGAAACTGAAAACACCTTATTTGCTATATCAGTTAGTAGTTTCCTTCCCTAGCTGAACTATTTTCTGTTCTCATTTGTAGGTTGTGATCTGCCCAATGTGTCACCAACTCCTGCAGCAGATGAGGAAAGCCACCAACTTGTCCAAAAAGTTTTTAGTTTGTGCTGGTTGTATATTTCTTGTGACAGACACATTTTTGCCCAACAAAGCTGAAACAGCTGAAGGGATTTAACACATTAATTTAGAATAACATTGGATACATCTTTGCTCAGATGAGACTAAATTTTCTATCTTCAGACACAAAAACATCCATACACACATAGCTATAGACTTAACACATAAGCCGTGTTGATTAAGTCTTCTGCCAGGCTGAACTCTTCACATAATGCAGCAGTGTACAGCTATAAAACACTGCTATTCAAATAACTGCTAACCTTCAACCATGCTCTCAGTTGATCACATGAACACACGCACACACAGACTATACACACACACACACGCACACTGTGGTTTATTCATATCCTTATTGCACAATTCTCTGGGTTTGAACGCTGCCAAACATCACATCTGCTGCTGCCTCTTGCAGCTCCAATCTATTAAATTAAAATTCAGACTAAATCTGTCTGCAGGTCATCACAGTGTATGTGGAGTCCGTGGCTTGCATGAGGATGTTGGTTTAGGCCTGCTTGTTTGTGCCGTGTCACTGTAATCTGGCTGCTTGTGTGCGTAAACCCGCAGCAACCTGGACAGCTGCTCTGAGGGTTTAGTGCAGGGGTTAGGGAGTAATGGATTTCCTGGATATGTGACCGGATTACAGGGATCTGTTTACAAAACAGAAAATGAATGAGAAAAACAGCTTGTTTTAGTAAAATATAACAGCAATTACAAGTAGGACTACTTTTTTACAGGTACACTATGTGGTTTTATGTAGTGCCCAATAGTAGCCTCCAAACCCCAAATTTCCCAATAACTCTGCTTGATGTTAACCACACACACACACAAATAAATATAAAACATATTTATATTTATTATATAACATATATAAACGTAGATAAAGTGCTGCAATATTGTAAATAGATCAGTTTGGAGCTCTAATGCGTATGTTGTTTTCTTTGCTTAAAGATGATGTTTCTCTGTGGTTTTCAGTAGTGTGTGAGGCTGCAGGATTTTAGCTGGGTTCAAGATTCAAACTAGATTTAGTAAATTCACTTACCAAAATTACATGAATTCCTAATTGGTCCATAAAGATTGTGTGGCAGTGAGAAGCACAGACAGCAAACAGTAGCATATTTCAGTCTTAAAAATCCATGCTGACTTTAGTCACACAACAGAGAAATGATATCTCAATAACTAATGTATGGCACAGCAATAAATCTGACAACACCCCCCATCCCCTGACATAAGATAACTTACTTCCCTGTTGTGAATCCACTTACACATTGGAAACGTGATAGTAACAATGGTAGACATGAGGTAATACATTGGAAGATTTGAAGATATATGAACTGCTTTGGTCCAACTACTTTTTAAGCAGACTGGACCAATTAAGAAAAATGAGCACACTGTTCATCATTCTGAGCGACCAGGGCCCCGTCAGACCACGGGTCCTAGTGCGACTGTACTGACTGTACTGCCTATATTAATACCACCGGACACCACTGTCATGTCCACAGTGCTTTTTCCCGGGAATATAGAGGATTTCAGGGGCATTCCCCAGATTTTACACGAAAGTAACTTTATGGCACATCAGTCGTATAATTACATATAAAATCTGATTAAAAAAATCCTGGCTAGTCAAGCTGTAAATCAAATTTGTGGCTGTCAGATTGTGTGATAAATGGCTGCTAACTATAAATAGAGAAAAATAGGCAGAGACCAATCATCAGCTCACGTCACGTCATTTCCACCAGTCGTGGCCTTGGAGAAGAAGGCAGCCCATAATGCAGATTTTTTTGGCCGGACCATTATGCTTGCTTGAAAGTGTATTCTGCATGTCATATTCTGACTGGTTGGTTTGTATGTGTGGGCAGTAGCAGAGGTCACATTGTGAGAATTTGGTCCTAAACACTGTCTGAAAAAAAACTCCAGTGATGTCACCAGGTTATTTCAGCTTTGCCTTAAAAATAACAAACAAATTAACAAAAAGGTTGCACCCACACAAAATGGGACTTTAAATGACATTGCCTAAGGAGGACTTTATATTCCACAAATGCCCTTGACTTTAACCTTCATTGGATTCCACAAATATGCACAAATTACACTGGGTGTGCGTTTTTACAGCTGGTTCTGATACTTTCAAGATTCTATTTGTTTAAATTTGACAAATTTAAGACTTGGAACAAAATATTTTAAAATATTTACATTAAAAGGGATTTAATATTTGACCAACTTTAAAGCAGCCTCAGGGAAAGCTGCGTAAGTATTTTTGAGAAATGCGATAATGAAAAGTTTGAATATCTACCATTCCATGACAACTGAGAAAGTCTTCTCATGAAGACTGTGTGAGATTGTTGAAAGCTTCAGAACACGCAAGTACAGAGACTTGAGTGGAGCTTGTTGTGTCAATATGAAAACAATATGAAACATTGAAATACTGTAACTGTAGCTGCATAACTCTAAAACAAATCCATTCCAAAGCAGGCTAATTGGTTTCTGGGCCCTTGTCCCAGGTGGTCTAGTTACACCCAACAGGGGAGGTGTTCTGATTACGGCATCTAGTCAACAACAAACCCTCTGCTGTGCTGACAGACATACACAGAAATGAGAACCCTGACACTGCATAGGCCATAATGTGCCTACCACAAGTGATGTAATGACCAAAATACCAGAGATCCATAGCAAGTATTACTGTTGTAATTACTTTTTTTGGTGCCATGTTTATCTATTTGATATGATATACAGTATGTATTGACGGCCCAAAACAGGTTGTTCATCCTTGGGGTCTGGACTACATGTTCAGTTGCATGATATGTAAACTGATATATTGATATTCAATATATTTTAAAAATCTAAATATTGGTTAGTTGTACTCACACCATTGCCATTAGGGTGTATTAGCAACATGTTTGTTTTACCTCAGAATGCAGTAAAGTGGTTTAGATAAACTGAATGAACTGAATGATGGCTGAATTCCATTTAGCGGCTTCTCTTTCAGGGTCCTGGTATTGTTCATGGTAAAAAGTGGGTTGACATTAACTGCCTGAAGCCTGCGACCCATCGACATCACCAAACTGTTGCATTCTTCATTTGTGATGCTATTCCAGGCTTTTACTGCAGCTTCTTTCACTTCTTGTTTGTTTCGGGGGTGTTTCTCCCTTCAGTCTCCTCTGAAGGAGGTGAAATGCAGCTCTGTTGGGTTAAGTTCAGCTGATTGACTTGGCCAGTCTAAAACCTTCCACTTTTCCCCCCTGATGAAGTCCTTTGTTTTGTTGGCAGTGTGCTTTGGCTCATTGTCCTGCTGCATGATAAACTTCCTCCCATTAGTTTCAATGCATTTCTCTGTAAACTGGCAGACAAAATGTTTCTGTCCACTTCTGAATTCATTCTGCTGCGACCATCATCAGTTCCATCATCAATAAATATTAATGAGCCTGTTCCAGAAGCAGCCATGACATAACCTCCAGCATGCTTCACAGATGAGCTTGGATGCTTCGGATCATCAGCAGTTCCTTTCTTTCTCCACACTTTGACCTTTCCATCACTTTGCCAGAGATTAATCTTGGTCTCATCAGTCCATCAGATTCTGTTCCAGAACTTTTGTGCCTCATCTCTGGTACTTCTTTGCAAATTTCAATCTGGCCTTCTGATTCTTGCTGCTGATGAGTGGTTTGCATCTTGTGGTGTGGCCTCTATATTTCTGCTCTCTGAGTCTTCTTCCAACAGTGGATTGTGATACCTTCACCTGCACTGTGGAGGTCGTTGCTGATGTCACTTCCTGATGTTTTGGGGGTTTTCTTCACAGCTCTCAACATATTTCTGTCATCAACTACTGTTGTTTTCCTTGGCCGACCTGTTGGACGTCTGTTGCTCAGTACACCAGTAGTTTCTTTTTCAGGACATTCCAAATTGTTGTGCTTGCTATGTCCAATGTTTGTCCAGTGGCTCTGCTCGATTTTCCTTCTTTTCTCAGCTTGACAATATTTTTCTCCCACAGACAGCTCTCTGGTCTTTATGTTAGTTTATCCTCTTTAACAGGAAATGCAATCTTTATATGTTTGAACCAAAGATGAAAACTTAGACTAGTCATGCAGAGCTATTTAATGTTTGAACAATCAACCTTAAATGGAAACACCTGGGCAACAAGAAACATCTGTCAGTCACATGTTCCAATAGTTTTGCTCACTTGAAAAATGGGTGGGTTCAAACAAACGGTTTGATCTTAAACCCAAATGTCTTCATTGAACAAACAAAAACAAAGGAATTTGCCCTACCGTTCCAATACTTTTGGAGGGGACTGTAGATCACCACAGGCTTGGGTGCATATGCTTCCAAAACTGCCAGACAGTTCTAGCTAGCTAGTACAGCTATGTTCGTGTTAAAGGTGTTGACATCCCTCCGAAGCCCCCTACAATTACTATAACCATTAGAAATGTTAGTGCCTAAACGTAACTCTTATCAAGTGGGGGTCCTTGGTCTAATTTGTGTCAGTTTAGGGGTCCTTGATGACAAAAAGTTTGAGAACCACTGATCTACATACTGTATATCCTTCATGCAAGTTACAGAACTATAGAAAATGTACAGTCGTGCACATGCACTTACCCAGGACGCCCCCCCCACTGAAAATATGTTCCCGTTCTCATGCTGTAACGACCCTGATAAATTTTTCATCCTCGAATCCAAGTACACATTCATAATTTGCCAATCATGTATTGCTACAGACATCCATCTGAGCCCACACTCCTCCGCTGTGCCTCGACCTTTGAGCACACAGCTCTGCTGCCTTTCCTCTGCATCTTTTACTATTAATAGAGGAACAGATCGCAGACAGACAGCAGTGGAGACAACAACAAAGAGGTTTTTGTCAGGACTTGGGGGGGGGGGGTGACAGACGGTTCAATCAGTGTCGGGTTTCTTTAATGAGGGTATGGCTCAGTCAGGGGTGGATTAGCAAGTGGGAAAAAGAGCCCTCAATCTTCCATCTGTTTGGGTAATTTTTTCAGGGAGAGCAAGACAACACCTTGAGAAAACTGTTCCACATTTTCTGTTATCGCAAGCTAATTTTAAAATGATTGAGTTAGCACGTTTGAGACAGTGGCCTAGTGATGAGCAGATAAAATGCCTGCAAAAAACAAAACTGTTTTGAGTCAAAAATATCTGTGAGTAATTATTCAGTTTAGCTGCTCGAAACTGCCTTCCAGTGTCCTTGAGGTATCTCTGCAACTTGATCTGAAATTCCTTAATTACTTTAATGATAGACCTCTGTATGCATTTCCATCAGTTTGTGAAGTTTTTTCTTTGTCATCCCTGGCTGTTTTGCTGTTAAAGACAGACTCTCTGAATACATTTTCAGTCCATGTTTGAGGCTGCAATACCATGAAATGCATCAGAAAACCACAAAGGTTGAATAGTTTATGAAGGTGGAGTACTGCATGTACCCCAGTGTGTGTGTGGGTGTGTGGAGCGGGGGGGATTGTATTACTTATGTTGTGGGGACATAAATCTGTTTGCACATTCACATTGTGGGGACTCGCCTTACTTTTGGGGAAAAAACGCAAGTGACCATAGTATATATATATATACTAGATTGCGTGTGTGTGAGAGAGAACTAAATATGTAAGGAGAAAAAGCCTTCATTTATTCCCAATAAACCAGTAGGATTTCACAATATACAAGGAAAGCCGTAAGATTTTTACAGATAAAGTCATTATATTTTAGGAATGACGCCAAGATTTTCTGGGTTGCAATAGTTGCAATATTTCAAGAAATATCTTGTAACATTTCCTGAATAAAGTCAAGAATGAAGTAATCATATTATATGTATAAAACAACTTTATTCATTTAACATTGTGACTATGATTATTTTTGTTCTCAATTTTTATGACTTTATGCGCAAAATCTCCGGTCTTTGTAGATAATCTAGGTAGGGCAAATTCTATTTAGCATTTAGTTATGCTACTATTCTATAGTTCTATACTTAATTCTATAATCATCATCTTTTATAAAGTGATCATACATTTTGTATGTATGCACTCCCATGCCCTGGGGATATCACTTTTGTTGCCTAGTCAGACAGTGTGAGCCTGTACAAATTGTACTTAACTGCCATCTCCCTCACACCTCTGTTGGTTTTATTGTACCGATTAGTGCAGAACAGCTTAGCCTTTGTTCATTCTTATTAGAAAAAAGATTTTGGTGACGTAAAGCCTAGCTCCACCCAACACATATGACTAGAGGTCTACTCAGCCAGAGTGACTGAAAACAGTCAACTGTGTGAGTGTGCAGAGACTTTCATTTGCAATGTAACTAATAGCTATAGCCACCAAATAAAGTGGAGTAAAAGTACAATATTACCCCTCGGAAATGTAGTAGATAAGACATCCCGTATAACATAGGAATACTTAAATAATGTACAGATACCTCAAAATTGTACTTATGTATAGTACTTACATCACTCAACATCTCAGACTTCTTTTTCCTAATAGTGGCCATAATACTTAATGATTCTTTCTTTCTTTCTTTTTACGTCTGCATGATTTATTTTCCCAATTCCTTCAGCTGTAACTGAAGTCGATACTCCTCTGTGAACCTTTTTTTAAATTTTCAAATCAATCTGCATCAGCCTATGATTCCTTATATTTGAGCTGCCATTCCTTTTAAGATCCAGCCTGGGAGTCTTCTGGGACTCCCGGGCTGATATTGTTTTCATCATTTTTCCATCCTCAGCAGGCATCAAAGGGGATTCCCTGCCTAGATCTTAGACACTCATTGAAGGTCACTCTCAGTCAAAGCTTCCATTTACTTCCACTGGCTTTTTATTCCCCGATCAGTTTTGATGGGAAATCAGCTCTTTACGGCCATTAACATCTGACTCATCTCTGTTCTCTGTGCTTATTCCAATACATCCTCATACCGAAATGACAAAATAGGTTGACTGTCCGTTGTCCCAAAATGACAAATACAAGTTCAACAACATGACCATTCCACAAAACGACATGTATGAGTACTATTGCAGCGAAAGGCTTACCAGACTTTAAGTATGTTACCTAAGTCATGTGATGTAAGTCATGTTATTTAATTAAAATACGTCAACTTTGGTTGCGTTCTGATTGCCCCGTAGTTCCCAAGTGGACTGCACCGGGTATTTGGCCATTTTAAGTAAGATTCCAAACTGCGGGGAACACAACATTTTCAGTTCAAAGGGCACTGTGAACTGTGTAGGGAAGAAGTGAACAACGGTTCATCCGTTCGCCGGGAGTTGACAAGCAAGATTACACATAAGCTTTTGCGCTTTATAGGAGCGGCAAAAACTAACAATCGTCGTTGTAACTAACAGAATATATATATATATATACATGCACACACAAACAAACAACAATGCTCATATGAATGTTTCTAAGACTGACACTGCATATCTCTTAAATTAATCCATTCACATTTATTTACAAGTAACATACATTTAAATAGAATAGAATTAGAAGACGTTATAGAAATAAGTTTTGAAATGGTATTAGTTTTTGTATATTCAATATTTCAATTCAGTAAATGTCGGTTACGCACAGCAGAACTGAAGTCTGCTTTGATGACGTTGCTGGAGGAATTCTGTTTAGAGAAGTTCCCTTAACCGACATTCCCTGAGCAGGGAGCAAGGAGCAGGGAGTGCTGTTTATGTACACTGTGGATCGGAACACAGCCTTTTATGAGGTGCCCCTAGGGACATTATTCAAAGTTACCATGCACATAGATGTACTTTTCCTTTCACATACACATATGAAACCAAACTCATTCACATACTATACTGAAAATCAAATCTCACACACATACAAGTGAATGTTTCGCCTGCTGATATCAGAATAAAGCGCATTGCAATTGTGAAGTCTGAAGGAGATGAAAGCTGGATGACCTTTTCTAAAAGGAATGATCTGATTTTGGTTAAATGTCTCAGTTGGATGAAGCAGGACTTCACCACTGCACCTGTCACCAGAGCATCAAAAGACAACGCTGACTCAAAAATAACTCCCAGGTTACAGCCTCTTTATTAAGATTATTTGATACGGCTAGATGAGAGATCAGTAATACTGTACTAGTGCTGGGACCAGCAGAAATTTTATGTATTTCTGATGTGAAGTCATACAGCGGCAGGAAATGTTTGGATT